ACTATTCATTCATCAAACAAACCAATGTGTTTGAAAATTACCCACGAATAAACAGACGTATACGTATATGATTTTTCGCATGGGCTTCGTAAATTCCATTTTGTTGCTTGAATACGCACTGACATTTTCAATTTTTTTTTGTATTTCTGGGAACGTCAACTACTAGGGTCATTAGTTCCGTTCCATAAGCTCTCATCTTCCTTCATGTGTGGTAGAGTAGTGCGCGTAAGTGTAAAGGGGAGGGGTCAAGGAAAAGAAAGGAAAGATCTTGCGCTATCCTATACCCGTTTCTTAAGGTACAGCTCCAGCATTCGCCTGATATTGATAAGAGAAAAAAAACACGAAAACCAACGATCAAGAGTTGGCAGCTGTTAGGATTTCTCCTACAGACAGCGGCTGAACTCGATCTAGCTTCCTAGCTAGAGACGAAAATCCACCACAGCACTGGGGATCACTTGATTAGAGACGCTGCACATTCAACAGCAATGATGGCTCTAAGCTAAACCCAGTCGGTTCTTTTATTGATGTATAAAATAGTTTCTTAATGAGGAATATATTATTGTTATCAAGTAATATTTTTGAAATAATATTAGTATACAGACATTAATGTCACTCTTGTTTTGTCACAATTTCAAGTTGCCATATAAATACAATCGCCACTTAATGACTCTTGAATTTATCTAATTTCCAAAGTACTCCTGACATTACTTTTGTTAAATGAACGACAAAAGTTTTCCAAAAAGCATCCATATTACTCTCCTGAGTCGGGTCAAGGCCGATTGGTGTAGCAACTCCGGTTTAGACCATACAATAATTAAGTGCAGTTAGTGCTTGTCAGATTTTTCCTGTGACAAAATGAAGAAGAAAGGCATGTACTGTACGTCGAAGACCTTTATGGAAATCAAGGACTGTATGAGTGCCTAAGAAAAGTAGGTCGTTCTCACAAAAGAGACGGCTCATGATGTCATCGCTCAGCTCTGCAAAACAAGAGTGAAGTCACGTCAGAACACCTCGCACATTCTGCAATTGCACAGCATTCTCGCATAGGTCTAACGCACGCCATATATTATTGTTATTATGTTAGTTCTCAAATATTTTGTTATCACACAGATACAACACATCCCGATTGAAATCTTCAAAACATTAATGAACACTAACATCTTATCATAAAATAACGCAAAGACGATGATAACAACAATAATAATAATAGCAAAACAATATAACGATAATGATAATAGTAATTATTTATTATTATTATTATTATTATTATTATTATTATTATTATTATTATTATAACTCAGGCTACTGCTAAAATTAATTTCTCATTTCAGATGGTCCGGCTAGTTGTGGATGAGAATGTTCTCTCCCACGGTGACCCAGCCCGGATTGAGGGAGTTTGAAAGGGAAGATAAGATTGCGCGCGATTCGAGGCCCGTTAGATAAAGCGACATTCTGCCGCAAAAACATTCAACGTAACGTTATTAGAAATACTGAAAGCACCGATCAACCTACGAACATGTTCCCGACAGCAGCCACGGCTGCTGATGTTCAACACATCACGCAAATTTTCCGCACCCGTTCTGGGTGAACATGCACTGTGCCAGCTAAACTGCTTGATTGCAGTAACCCATGCTGGTACTTGCTATAAAGTACGTTATAAGTTTCATTTATTATGTACCAATCTGAATATGCTTTTATACAGAAATAAAAATATCCTTGGAGACATTTTTGAAAACGCTAGGCACGAAGTGCGTATAATATTATAGTCATACGGTTTAATTGAACAAAAAAAACCGTACCACCCATCGTTTACTTGAAATACAAAATTTTCAATTTTTTTCCATTAACAAAAAGAAACGGGAATGACAAGAGTTTTAAAATTTTCTTCATTTAAATTCGGAAGACACTAGTTTACTTCAAATACAAGCTAATTAAGCGACTGCTCGAATTGATACAAAATTCTAGAATGAAGCAAATACTACAAATAAGTCACTTGAATTATATGAAAACCTGAGTAAATTTTAAAGAGAAACTGGAAAGGGTACAATATTTATTTCCGCTCTATGAGAAATTATTCAATAAGTGATGGCGCTAATAACGATGTGTGTGCGTTTTTGTTTTTGATTCAATAAAGAATTTGTAGACCATTTTAATGATATTCTGTAATCCTATATATTTAAATGTAGGTGACAACTGCACGATTCATTGACTTGTATTACACTGAATTACGTTACCAATACTAAAACGACGAACTCTCTCACTTTCGTCCCCAGCGCACCAGACAGTCAATAACCTAGAGATGTCGACTTGTGCAGGACAATCTCGTGCTCAAACAGCACCCGTTCTGCAGAACGTGTTAAGGTCGCGCCATCCTCTTTAGCCAGAATGCAGCCGCCTCCGCCGGCGCGGCGGCGAAAGCAAAGGCAAAGGACTGTTGACGAGCAAGCCGCATCCGCCAGTGCCTCCGAGCACGCCACGCTGATAAGCGCACAAAAACAAATTATTCACCCGCACGCGCTCTCTTTCCGGGCGAGCAGGCACGAGCCGTCAAGAGAACTTTGACAATTGAAGTTTCTCGCAAACATTAGCCCCCCCGGTCTAAGTTTTTTATCGCACGCCTTTTACTCAACATGTGGTACAATTTAAAGGCTCGGCTCTAGATAGTTGTATTTCACATTTTCGTGGAAATTAAGAAAACCATACTAACGTGCTTGCTATGGTGAATATTACTCTTGTATAATTAACCAGAGGCAGCATGTTGTTACAAATGGCGGTATAATCATACAGAATCGTTTCTTCTTTACATTGTGGTGAGAGAGGGCTTATTAAAACTTTTTATTTCTTTATTGTCAGATTTAAATACGGTGTCATACGACCGATCATCTTGGCGGGTTATCTAATCGGAAGCTTGGTAATTACTTTAATTTTAGGAATCGAAGCTCTCGATTGGCTAATGAATCATAGATGACGCGAGTATCGCCAGAACTAGGGCAAGCTAACGGTTGATATGAAGTTTCCGTTGGGCTTTCTGGATTCCAGTGCATTCAGAAGAATCTTCACCCAATCCTGCCCAATGGTCAACGCACCAGGGTGCCCGACTGGTGGTTTACCGGAGGAAGCCCGGCAACCAGGATCTTAGCACTGCCTACTCACTACATCCATCTTGAAGCTAACGACGTGTGTGCCGACATGAATCCCGGAGACTGGGTTGTCGTCTACAACTCTCCACCAGAAATCGATGCAACCTTCCTCACCGCAATCCCTCCCCCTCGGGGACACGGGGGTATCGGTTCATTGTCGAACTTCCATATGTGGGATTCGGAGCTTTCTAAAGAACGTCCTTGTATGCTCTCCCACTTGTATAACTTGTACGACAAATGGGATTCTCATCAAAAGTATAAATAATAGTATAGTATTTAAATAGTATATAAAGTATATAAATAGTATAGTAGTATATAAATAGTATAATTTGCTATAAAACTGATTCATTGTTTTTTCATGCAACAAACCGTCGACGATGAGACATCGAGAAAGAGTAACCATGAATTTGAGCTTTGAATATAGTCATCTACAGTGCGGATACAAACATAACGAACTTTTATAACATTTCTAGTGAAGGTTCGGACCATTAGGGAATGGGAAAACAGCACTGGTTAGTATAAGCCGAGTCTAGGCTGGAGAGGAAATAAATAAGTTAATAAGTAAACAATGAATAATTTAATCAGTAATTTAAGTTAAGTTAGTAAACTGTTAAGTCACTAAGAAATAAGTAAATAAATAAGCAGACTAATTAAACCATCAAATAATTAAATAAGTGCATAAGGGAGGCAAAGGGGAGCGAGTGCCGAAAAGTAAGCGCAGAGGCATGCAATGGTGCGGACGATCTGTTGCGCTGTTTGATTGTTTGATTTCAGGTGCTGAGGAGGCCAAACACTGGAAGTGACATTCGCGAAAGGAAAGTAATAAATAAATAAATAAATAAATAAATAAATAAATAAATAAATAAATAAATAAATAAATAAATAGTGTAGAAATAGTTTTGTATATTAGCATGCACTCGTCTTCTGACGGCAAGATTTTCCCATTTACGATATTTTTTCCTCTGACGTATCTTATAGTCTCTTTTCATCTGTTTTGATGCGATGGAAAACGAATTCGGTATCATGGTCCCCAAAAACGTGTATTTCCGTTGAAATCTCGAAATCGATTTTGCGTTGCATTACACAACTTTCTCAATACTACGTATATTACTCCGCATATACGTACGTATACGAGAATGTAACAAGTATGGCACCTTAATTTCTCTTAAAGCAAAAAGTACCCAAGTCTAATTACATTCTATGCAAAATTTCTTAATAATCCTATATTTACACTTTATTATCGAATGTTGAAATGCCTTTAACTATTTACTCACAATTGCTTTGTGAAACTATTTACTCTGGTTCAATACTGTAATGTTTGGGCACTTTAACTCGTTACTGGATAACACCTAAAATATGGGAACATCAGCTGAGATTTTGCACGGTGTACGTTAGAGAGATTTAACAATTAATGTTATAAATTAATATATTGCACTGTAGTTTTACGAAAATTACTCAAGTCCGTTTTAAAACCTTTCGAACCTGTTTTGTATGACATCTACACAGAAGCACTGCCTCTGACCTTGCCGTCAGCAAGCTTCTCTGTTACATTTAGCTGGTCGTTTTCTTGAGAACCCTACTAGTAAACGTACTGCGTTAAAAATCTTTCTAAGGGGATTCTCAGGCGAAAGAAAGAATGTTGTCTACTTTACGTGTTGCGTAGAACAGGAAGGTGTCGCGTGGAGGATATCACCATTTCTCAACTCTGGAATGATGCCTTCTCTGCCCGTGATCTAATAGAAGCCTCCCACACGTATCCGCCGTCAGACTGGATGCGGCATTTAAGAACCAGCATGAATGTCGAGGAAAATTGATATTACTGACTGGCATTCACGACATATGTCATTGTAGTTCAAATACCTGCGTCCCAATCGAATGCCGGAATCTGTAAAATAGGAAAACCTTTAATAAGTAACGTATTGCACTAATTTCTCATTTTTTGTCACACCGTTCATTTCGCAATATTTGTAATTACACAATCTTATCTATAGTTACCTCATATGCGTGTCCAATTTCAGTCGCAACCACTAATTGTACGCTGCACAGACCTTTTTAGCCGTTTACTTAGTAAAATTAACCACTTTCAGAAATGACTACCGACGGACTGTTGTGGGCTGTTCCCGGGCAGGTCCGGCCAGGGTCCGGCCTCCGTTTCTCCTAGCTCCTGTCCTCGAATCTAAATGCTCATTGGTTGATATTTCACTGTTCCGTGCTTCGCCTTCTGAAGCAGGGTGTTCCGTGATTGTTTCAAAACTTCCAGCATAGCATATAGAAGAGTGCACGGCCCAACCGCAACGCGACTCTTGTAAAGCGATGGGCAATTCAGTTGATTGGCATGTGACATTTGTCACGTTTTATTATTGTAATCTTATAGAAAAAGAGAGCGGTAGGCTACGTTTTTGTAAGTGTAAATTAATATACACTCGTCCAATCGAAGAAGACAGAATGAACTTCGTGGCAGTCTTGAACAACCCTCAGTTCAGCGCTTACTTTATAGTTCAAAAGTAAGCTGACCATATTTTACAACAGTTATCATGAAATACGGGCGGGTTGCGTCAATATTATTTAGATTCAAGAAAAATGCTATGATTTTGTGTGAAATATATGATAGTCATTCCTATTTATATATACTATCATTCGTTACATTTATATTTTTTAAATATGCTGTATTATTAGTTCAAGATTTTGTTGATAGATTGTTCTGCTATTATTCGATATTATACATATTTTATTGCAAATAAAACATTAATAGTACAATATACTTTAACGGTAAGTTGGAATGTTTGAGCACTAATAAAACCTCGATTCACAATGAACTAGTTTCCACCAGTCTCTGCAGTTTCAATTCCATTGTTCACTTGCAAATCAAACGAATTATAATAATCAAACGAATTATGTAACTGAAGAAAATCAACCATACTGTAATTATTCATCAGAATAAGTGTTTGCCCCAGTTGAAGTTTAGCGACAAGCAATCGTCGTTATTTCAGACGATCACCACCAATGGAAATATGCAGGAGTTCGCAATTTTTTTCTTATCCTTATGCTTGTAGTATAACGCGGATATCAAATACGTCGCATTACACGTAATCTGAAACTGCAAACTCCCTTAGACTGAGCAGACCTATATAAATTATATTATTATACACTATAGTCATTATTCATGAATGCAGTAAATAGATTTATGTCTGTATTTAATATTTAATGGCAAGAACAAATTATTAACAGACAGTTAAATCTTCTTTTAAGAAGAATAAACTGTCTGTTAATAATTGGTTCTTGAAATGAAATATTCATCCATTCCTCTGATTAATAAATAACAGAATTTCTTGAATCTAAACTAAAGAGATTATAGATGTATAAGATTTACACATTATTAGAAATACACATTTGATTCGAACGACTGATGTTTATAATTTCCGTTTTATATCATATCTCTAAATTGTTAAAATTCATATTAGCAAATAGTGGCATTTTAATTATTTATTTAAAAATTTACTGCTTGAACCACATTATCGTGAAAACTGTTGCTATGACTCTTGTGGTAAATCCAGTGAATTCTAACGGGGATCGCCAACCACAGAGAATAAGAACATATGCTAGACAAGATGAAAGGGATTTATATTTCCGTGCAGTTTCCTGCGGTAACAACACATTATCTCCAAACAAATGTAAAACAGGAAACGTTTGGAATTCAAGTTCTGCAGCTTTCCTCATGGCCATCTGTATCACAAGACGCAGAAATGCGATTTCCTAAGCTTTTCCCTGTGAAGATAAGTTCTTAACCAAAGAAAGTATATCCCGATCGAGATTTATGAATTTTGAGACTCACAGTTCTTTCATATACAGTTTCATGTATTTATTAGATAGTAAATTCAGGGAGTCATTTACGAACGCCTCCATCTTCTACTTATTTGGATAAAAATATGTTTTTACTGTAATTTTGTTGAGAAAATCTTTTTTTATTTGATTTGGTTTATTTGAGTTGATTTATTTCGTCCAAGATCTGTAGGGGAGAAGTCCATCTGCGCACATTAAGCTCCACAATACATTAAGCTTTGAAACACTTAAAAGATAATTCGTATAATTATTTGACCTCATGGTTTTATATTCTTAGGATTTCAAGAGCAATTCGTTAAATAACGCGTAATATTACATCGAACATACGTTTGTTCGATGTAATATTATTCGATCGTTGTTTCAAGTTTGTGACGTCATGCCATCTCCCTGTATTCCTAACTCCATGGCATTTAACACGGGGTTGAGCTACTGTATAAATACGTATAATATGCGTGTACACTGAATTTGAACTTGGAACAATAAATTTGTTTGTGCGCTTAATATATGCCGGACGACATTTAACCACATTATATCTCGTATATTTTCATATGGTTGAATAATACACGCCCCGAAAAGAACATGTCGTTATTCTAAATAACTAACTTGCTTCCATCACAGTCGAAACAATATCAATGTGGTACACATGATTCCGCTATAATGGCGGGCTTCAAATTATTTGGAGACAGCAGCCCTCTCCGTGAGTCTAGTTTAATTCTATTCCAACATCTTTGCTTGGATCGTACGCGGCCCTGAGATCGCGCCCGATTTTTGGCCGTCCGAATCGCAGACCGACCGCAGATCGTGAGAATTGTAATGCAATCACTGTCATCTAATGATGCTAATGACCTCCCAATACGTTTAAAAGCGCTTTGAGGCTTGGAAATAGACATAAATCTGCAGTGGTAACCAACTACAAAATGTGTCATTTATCTACAACATTAAGTTGTAGATACGGTGTACAGAGTCGTTGTCACAGTTTATCTCATAATATTATCGTACAATTTTATTTAAATGTAAAAATATTCTGTAACACTCAAATATTAATTTAATAATTTCGTATTTCATAATCTGCCTCTGCACTAATTCTCTTAACAACACACGCCACTCGTTACCTAAGAAGAACGTGCATAGGTAGAGGATGGGCAAAGTGTACGACAGTTCTTCGCTCTCTATGAGAATGGTTGTCAGAATACGAGGCAAAGTGAGGTATCATCTAATCCTGCGTGCCTTGGCTTAGGGTTGACCAACTGGCGTCCCGCGGGTCGCATGCGGGCCGCGAAAGATCAAAAGTGAAAGTCCCCTTTCGTCCATGTTTTGCGAGAACATTGTGCGCCCAGAGCAAGGCCGGGGTAAACACCCCCTTAATGTAAATATAGGTTAAGTTTAGATTAAAGGATTGTTTTCCATGGTGAGGCTTCATATCACACATGGTTCCATACCCAACTCCCGTTTCAGAGCAGCCGGGCAAACGTTCGAGATCAACAAAAGTGGGAAGTGAGGGGTTGATCGCCCGAATAATGAAAGTATGGCTCGCAGCCTTATTAAAGGTTTTAGTTGTGGCACTTGAGGCTTTGCAAGTTGGCCACTCCTAGCGTATGCGAAGAGGTGCTTGAGACAGAGGAAACGAGACTGCGCGGGTTCATATTACGGAATGTTTAAAATAACTAGTGGTGCTACAGAATAGCACAGACTTTCCCGTGTTAGTTTTCTATTCCTTTTGGTCTCGGTTAGTTACTCGAACTTGCCAAGAACGAAAATATTCTTGCCTGCTGCCATCTATCGCCACCCAAAGAACATTTTCTTGACAATTTCATAATTTTTCGGTTTCCTAATTGTAGAGTGGAAAAATTCTTTAAAAATGTTTTAAGAACAGCAAAACTTCGTCCTCAATGGTAATTTTCTTTGAAAAATTGGAGACGTTTTAAAAAACCGGCGTTTAAGCGCTACCGCAAATTAGAAATTTAAAGCGCCTTTTCACATTTTTTTTTTTACTTTTCGGAAAACTTAATTTGAAATAATTTTTAGTACATTAAGTCACAAATACAATAGTGTTTACAAATTGCTGGAAATGTGCATATCAACGACGTGAGAAATCTTTCAAAAAACTTACATTTGTGTAATTTTTGAAAAAATAAGTTCACCGAAATTAGCTTTACGTCGTAATAAAGAGTGCAATTATCACTATCCGTCCGAAATGCTTGAACAAAAATTTTGGAGCCGATGGAAAAAAAGGCGTTTTAGCGTTTCTGAACGTGAGGAGTTTTGAGCTAGTTTTCACATAAAATGGCACAGTTTTTGAGAAACTTCATATGACATTATTTAAATCACATGTACTCATAAATATAATAATGTGAACATTTTTGAAAATGTTGATTGCATTTTTGTAATTTTTGGAAAACCAAAGGAATAGAGCGATATGGTGTGTATGTCATCTTAGAGAGTACATTTAGTACTGTTCCTACCAAAAGTTCAAAGAAAACATATGGAGCTGATTTTGAGAAAATCTTTTTTCTTTTTTTGTAATTTTTTTAAAAATTGTACATATTGCACGCAATATTGTGCGAAAACTACTAAAATTTTCAAAAACATGAACTTGATCTTAATGAAAGAACTCACTAATGAGACCAATTTTATTTGAAGGAAAACTTTCTATCTTCAATATGGTAGTTCTAGGAAAACGCCCAAAAATTGTGAAATAATCAAAAATTCAGTGTTAAAACTGAATAAGTCTTCTTTATAAGTTATGTTACTCTAATCTTACAAGAAATTTAAAGAAAAAAATGGAGCTGTTTTTGAGAAAATTTTGAAAATGTCTGAAGGGTTTCATGTAAAGTACCCCCAAATTTTGAAGAATGCTTTTCAAAATCTCAGAGTTTTGACTCAAGCCATATGGATAGAAGTTTATCAAATTTGGAAAAAATCCTACTCATGGTTTAGGCTATAGCAATGTTCACAGACATCAGACGGAAGAACAGACGGACGGACGGACGAACAGACGGAAGGTTTGAAAGAAAAAAACACTTTTTCGTGCAGAGACCCCAAAACGGGGAATTCAGTTGAAATCTCGAAATCCGTTTTCCGCAGCATTACATAACTTTCCCTATACTACGTAAATTACTCCGTATATACTTATGTATACGGGAAAGTAAAAATATCCATTGTTAATAATAAAATATTACATTGCAAAAGTTTTTGCATATTTAAAAAAAAACATATTTAATAGAAAATTGGACGTTTTTATAAGCGCCATTTTTATA